CATTTGGGTGAAAAACACCACTTTTACTCATAAACATGTTTAAACTTACTTGTGGGTTTAAGTATAGGTGGCAGAGAAAACGTGAAGTGTCATAGAAATCCTCCACGTAAAGTGATTACACAGAGAGAAAGAGAGATACCCATTGTGGTGGAGTGGCTACCTAAAGTGATTACACAGAGAGTAAGAGAGATACCCATTGTGGTGGAGTGGCTGATGGACTAGGATTCAGGAGGCATGCATTCGAATCCCTGCTTTGCAAGCTCATTGGGGATGATGGGACTGGTGAAGTCACTCCTTAAAGTTGAGGTCTCTCATCTTGAGAGCCCTCTCTGAGTCACTATAAATCGGCACCACCGTGCAGGCAGAGAACAAATCTATCGTTTATATCAAAACATATGTTTCTGTTTGCTTTTCAGGAACACGTTTGTCGCCGAACCCGTGCCAGTCCCTCAGTGCAGGATGCGCATGCGTGGCGTGTCGAAACGGCTACTACCAGAACACCCCCAATTTAGAAGTCAGCTGTCAGCCCTGCTCCCATTGCCTCTGTGAGGATCTGGGCAGCTGTGGGGACCTGGAAGCGGGGCTGGCCGGAGGGCTGGGGCGAAGAATGGATGAAGCCTGTAGAATGCTGGTTGCCACTGGGTGGGATGGGGGAGTCCCGGGTCCCCCAAAGCACCCCTTGACGATTTTGCCTCCCTCCCTCTCTTTCTCTTCCATTGCCATACCTGGAGGAGCAATTTTCCTTTGAAGCCATTTTCAGACCCTCTCCACCCTTTAAATGTTTTTTTTAACAAATCGAGCAAATCAGCAGTAGAACTCCGACCACCTCCTTCTTATCCCATTCTTCCTCCCACGAGCTCAGGGCTCTTCGGTTCTTCCACTTTCCACGTCTTTCACACAGCAACCCTGTGAGGTTGAACAGGCCAACAGAGATATAGAGGAGAGGGAGAGAGAGAGATACTGGGCAAAGCTAAGTTTCATGACTCAGTAAGGGTTGGAGCCCAGGTGTCCTGAGTTCAAATCCAGTCTTAGAACCAAGATGCTGTGCTTGTTTTTTGTATAGATTTGGGGGAAGCTCAGCCCCTAGATTTCCACTTTGACCATTCAGAGGTTCTGAACCCCATTTCAAAGGAAGCAGAAGGAGAGGAAGCATCCAGGCATTGCAGGCTTCTTCTTCTTCTGCCTCTTCATCCACAGCCAGAGGAGCAGAGGGCTGGCTGTAGAGCAAACGCAAGCCGTCTTATTCTTCCAGCTTATTTCGGCCAAATGGTCGTCAGGACCTGCACGGCCACCCAGGACACGGAGTGTGGCTGCAAACGTGGCTACTACAAGGCACCTCGCCCGTTTAGCGACTCAAACGACCTAAACTGCAAAATATGCACAAACTGCTCGACAACACACCAAGAAACACAGCGGGACTGTAAGTACACTCTTCCCTATTTTCCTCTTAGCTCCTCAATCAGTATTTCTGAAAGCCTCAAAGGATTATCCTGCGGCATCTCTGCATGGGCTACCGTGCTGTGGGCCAGTTTCATTCCTTCCTTGTTGACGGGTCTTTCTAAAGCCCCCCTCAAATGAGCATCAGTTGCAATTGGAGCATCCAAAGTCAAAGCAGATTCACCTGTAATCTTGCTCCGAGGCTTAAAAGGGGCAGCTGGCTAGGCAGAATGGCACTACTTCATCTTCTCTTGGGAACTCTCTCTCTGTGTGTGTGTGTAGCTTCACACAGGAAAATTCCTTCCTTGTTGACGGGTCTTTCTAAAGCCCCCCTCAAATGAGCATCAGTTGCAATTGGAGCATCCAAAGTCAAAGCAGATTCACCTGTAATCTTGCTCCGAGGCTTAAAAGGGGCAGCTGGCTAGGCAGAATGGCACTACTTCATCTTCTCTTGGGAACTCTCTCTCTGTGTGTGTGTGTAGCTTCACACAGGAAAACGTTCAGTGTGGGTCTTCCTAAAGCCCCCCCAACCGAGCATCAGTTGCAATTGGAGCGTCCAAAGTCAAAGCAGACTCACCTGTAATCTTGCTCCGAGGCTTAAGAGGGGCAGCTGGCTAGGCAGAATGGCACTGCTGCATCTTCTCTTGGGAACTCTCTCTCTCTCTGTGTGTGTGTGTGTGTAGCTTCACACAGGAAAGCACATTCAGTCCCTGTCTGTTAATAGCAGTTGAAATTAAAAAAATTAGGAGGCTGGAATCTGAGAACACTGGAAAAGGCTTCCCTTCTTCTACAAGAGCTGGTGAATTAGGAGCAGTCTACCTGAGCGTTGAAAGAAAGACTGGGAACCTGGCAGAAAGTTTGCTAGTTATTCTTATATTCTCTGCTTGCCGGTTCTCGGAAGAAACCCAAGAGGAGTGGGGGGGAGAAAGGAAAGTAGCCCCAATCAAGAAAGGGAGGGTTAGATGTCATGTGCATTGGCTCTGAAAAACTAAGGTGCTTCTCCTCCCTGGTTGCAGGTTCAGAAGGAGCTGATGCAGAATGTGGCGGCTGTCTGCCCACCTTCTGTGACGTTGGGGGCCACTGCCAGCCGTGTCCATGGTGAGACCTTCCGTGTCCTTCTGGATCTCCTGCCCACCCACCCCCCATAGTCACCTTCCTGCCTTCAGGTGATGTGGGAGAACAGACGGAAAACCTGTTATTTTCAAGGCCCACCTCCCACAGTTCTGTGGCTCCAACTACTAGCATGGGGGATTCTGGGAATTTTAGTTTTTTTTTAAAAAAAAAACCTGACCATCTCTGGGTGGAAGAATTTGTCTTATCAAGAGAGCTCCAGGTAGCTTCTTCCCATGGAATATTAGGGGAGGAGCCATTTCCACCCTGGGCCTCAGGCAGCAAAATGTCTTGGGTCAGCACTGCCTTTTTTGACCAGTACTGAGGCAGGGCAAAGGGTGCAAGTGGATGAGGTATCCATATGTATCATCTGACCTTCCTGGCAACTTTCTGAAGTTCCATGGTAAAATTTGGTGCTTGGGATCGGTCATGCTTCTAACGCCTGCCACTGACTGTAAATTATAAATTTTCCAACCGGGAAATCACAGTTGGGAAAGTAACTTTAAAGTTAGTCACTAACAGAAGCCAAAATCCTCTTGGCCTTCCTTCCTTCCTTCCTTCCTTCCTTCCTTCCTTCCTTCCTTACTTACTTACTTACTTACTTACTTACTTCTCATAGAGTAAATGGCCGGTCATGGAAGCCAAGTAAACTTGTTCCATTTGAGAAAAGTTATTGTTTACTTCCTGCCTGCCAAGCTTGCTCCATGTCTGTATGGGGCAAGCTGGGCATTTTTGAAAACGAAACCTCGGCGATCCAGGATTTCAACATCCCGCCCAGTAATCCGCTTTGTTTCCCCCCTCCTGCTTTTCCCTAGGACAACACCCCAACAAGAACAACTGACAAACCCCACCTTCCCATCAGATATGTAAGTTGCTTCAGGCTCAACCCATCGATTGTAATCTGATCATTCTCTCCTTTCTCTCTTTCCCTTTGCTCCTCCTCTCTCTCTCTTGTGGGTGAATATTCTGGTATGGATTAGTGCTCTAATCAGAAGTGAGACCTGCCTCTTTCTTTTGGGGGTGGTGTGATAAATACACACACACACACACACATACCCCGGCACACTGAACCGATGGGTCCACAACACCACTCTGGAAGTGCAGGCGAAATTTCTTTACAGCCCTCAAGAAATAACTCTTTGAAAGGAGCCGAGGGGACGATGGGAACAGGAGAGAGAGACTCCTGATGAGGAGAATATCCCCAAGTTATATGAGGCCCGGACGGTCAAAGCTTTTCCCAAAGACGTCATGGGTTGTCATTCAGTGGCGACGCTCCGAGTGTCTTCTGCAGCCCTTCCACCCCTCTTCCTAGCCTATATAAAGTTCTTTGGGTCTTGAATATTTCCCCCTTTTCGAGACGCAAGGACAATGGGGGGGGGGCTGTTCCAGCATCTGTTAAACTCAACTTTCTGTTCCTTTTTGCCTCTTAGCGTGACGCCCGTCGTTGAATCCTGTGGCATAGCCTGCCAGGCCAGCACGTGGTGGCTTTCGGGAAGTAAGTAAAGGCTTTCAACTCAGTTTATCTCATGGGACAACTCGGAGTCGAAGGTGCTGAGGGGATGCTGAAGGCGTCCGCTGGAGAGGCCTGGTTTCCAGCTTCCGGCCTGTTGCTCAGCGAGTTTTCATCCTGGGGCATCCAGGAGCGCATCGGGAGGCAAGCTGTGGGATCCTCCGCTCGGCATAAAATGGGCCCTGTACCTCTGGAGTCTAGGAATTCACATATTCAACGAACCACTGTAGATCCTGGTTCACGCTGAATGTCTTAAAAGTTATGTCCAGGGCAGGGAAAACATATAAACTCTAGTTCCCCGCCAGCACCAGCACCTTATATCCATTTGGAATTAAAACCTAGGTTCAGACGATGATACAGCTAGCATGTTATTAGATCTTGACAGCATGTTTTCCCTCCAGAGACGTATGTCCCCCAAAGCTCTGTGCCCGAGCAGTCCATCTGCAAAGGAAGCCTGTGCTCACTAGTCACTCAACAAAAGGGAGCTAAGAGGAAGAGTCACTTCTGTTAGGATCCGCAAGTGCCGTTAACATGTTGAGGAGGCTACGGTTTCTCAACTAGTTTGAACCTTAGAGGCCAAAACACCTGGAAGGCCCCGGTTGCCAACTTCCTCGACATGCTCAAGAGGAACGTGGCCGTGGTGGGGCTCGCTTCGCTGAGTGGCTTTCTCCTCTGTGCCTCAGTTATAGGATCCTGCGCCTTCCTCCTCCTGCTAGTTGGCAGCTTCGTTGTCTACTGCAAGCGGAGCCAATCTGGAGGGCTGCGGCCCCCTCTGAGTGCTGAATCCTCGCTCAGCGTCTACGCAGGAAAGCCCTCTTCCGGTGAATCTCTTTTGGAACGGTAAACATAGGGTGGAAAACCACCCCCGGGTGGGCTCCTCAATCTGGAGGGCTACAACTCCTGTCTTTTCCTCACCACTGGCTGTGCAGGCTGGGGCGGATGGAAGTTGTGGTCCTCCCAAGGGGTAGAAGGGGATGTCTTGACCGCCCCTGAGTTAAGGTGGGCAAGTTGCGTTCTTTCCCATTCCTGACCTCGCGCTTAAGTCCACGGAAGGCCAGGGAGGAGCTTGAAAGGTTCGCCTGCCTGGATTACAGACCCCAGCGTCCTCGGCCAGTCAGGCAGACTGGGATTCTGGGCTTTGTAGTCCAGAAGGTCTAGACTATTTTGGAGATGTCGAGTGATGCTGACTCCCCCCCTCACCCCTTCTTCTCTTAGGCACCCCTTGCCCCGAGATTGGTTTGCTGGTGGACGGAGCCCCCCTCCCCACGCCCGTCCTCCAGCAGGGTCGGAAGCTGTACGCCATCATTGATGCCGTCCCTGTCCGCCGGTGGAAAGAGTTTGTGCGTGGCCTGGGCCTCCGGGACGGGGAGATTGAACTGGTGGAGCTGGAGCACTCCCAGTTCCGGGAGCAGCAGTACGAAATGTTGAAACGCTGGCGCCAACGGAGAGGCGCTTCCCTGGACGCCGTCTTTGCCACACTGGAGGAGATGCAACTGGGGGGCTGTGCTCAGGAACTGAGGGAACAGCTGGGGCCCCAGCGCCTCCTCCACCCTTTTCTCTGAGGTGCCCCAGGTTGGCTTTGGCCAATTCCTGTACTGGTGGTGGGTTGGACTAGATGACCTTTGAGTACCTTCCAAGCCTATGGTTCTCTAATTCTATGCAAGGGTGGGGAGGCTCCTCCACACCCTTTTCCTGCCTCTTTCTTAGGTGCTCCTACACAGGACAGAGCCGGCCGACCCGTCTTTGAGCCGACAGCATCTGAGGTGCCTTTCATTCCTTGGGCATCTTTCCTCAGGTTCTGGGCCCCGATCCTACCACAGACAAATTTCCATCATCCACAGAAGCCCCTCCAGCCTTCCCACTTTCGGAAACTGTCTTTGGGACCCTGAAAAGGCCCGGGCCCCAATTCTCAGGATTTGGCCTTAAAACTGTAAGGAACCAGATCCTGCTACCCCTGGGTCTCCCTATTGCCTTTTTAACAAAAACGAAAAGCAATTGGTTGATCCAATGGATTGGTTTTTAGGGCTAAGACTGAGGGGGGGGGAGAGGTCTGCATTGGAAACTCAGTTCTCTGTGAGGTGGGTGTTTAACTTTTCCTAATGGGTAGGGATTTAGGCTGGGGAAGATGGGTTTGAGATGACTTTTGTGGTTTTATGGGAACCCAAGACCTGAGAGACTGGGGGAGGGGGCAGCAATACTTGATTTCCTGCAGGGATCAAGAATTCTAGCGTTAGGGCCAGTCCTATCTTGAGACAGATTGAAGTGTTTGCCTCAGGCAGCAAATGCTGGGAGGAAGCAGCGAGGTGCTAAGGAAGAGACTAACCAGCTCTGAGGTGTGATGGAGGTTGATTCTCTGATTGCTAGGGTTCAAGAGAGATCCCCACCGCCTGCCAAGCTTCGGGCACAGAACGATGCCACCTCGTTCTTTGGCATCAGGCAACAAAGTCTTTTGGGTGGGGCCCGCTTCTCCCCTCAGCGCCCTCTCTCCTTGCCAATGTTTTCGCAAGAGGCCACCTCTTGAAAACCTCCCTTGGCAGGACGGTTGCGAGAGGCCCCCCCCGGGATGTATTTCAGACCCAAGTCTCAATGGATGATCGAAGCGCCAACCTCTTGTGCCTCGTGAGGTTTGCTACTTTTGAAAAAAAAATAAACACTGCTTTGCAGGCAGGCATCTAGGAGAGAAATCTTTAAACGATGCCTTTTGCACACTAGATTTTTGAGGGAGACAGAAGGAGGCCGTTCTGCTTCCACCACTCTCTTGCTCTCTTTTCCCAACTGGAGGTTTTATTCTGCCATTCTGCCGTCGTAATAGCTCGCTGCAGGTGTTCTGGGAATACCTGCCCCCTTTTTCTTTGCTACGCCACACAGCAATGCCGAAGGCGTCGAAATTCTGCAGGTCCTGGATTCCCCCGACTGTGAATACATCAGGCAGTTTCTGCCTACGAACTGGGAGAACGCAACCACGATCTACCGTACAAAGACTGCTTTTGGGTGAGGTGCTCAACAAACTTGTCACATGGCTTTGCCCGGCTAGGAGGGTGGAAGGACAGGCAGACTGCTCACCCCCTCTTCATCTTCCGTGACCTTTCTACCTCCCAGGCCTTGTGCAGATCTCTTCTCAGCCAAGCTGGCCTGCTGCTTTTCTTCACAGCGTTAGGTGCTTTGGGCGCTCCATGATGGAGCCTTCCGCCACAGCAGTCTGGGATTCGTGAACATTCCGTGACTTCCAGCGCGCTCCTCTCCTGGCTGACAAAGGAGTGGCAAATCTGTTTATTTATATAATTTATAGAGAGACTCATTTGGGGTTGCTTTTCATGCACTTGGCAGGTGAGGCCTCGATCCAGGCTCAAATGCTGGGTAGAGGGGTCTTCCGAGCATTCCTGCGCACAAGTTCGAGATCTCTTGCCCTTGAGTAGGGAGTACAGTCGCCTTACCTCGGCTGATGGGGGAGAAGGGGGTCTATAGCGCAACGGTGAAGCCCACGCGTGGCTTCTCACCCCACTGAGCTGGATGGGGTGATCTTAATGGTTACAAGCCATTGAGTGTAAGCCAAAAGGATGGATCTAACCCGCTGAAGGGGCTGGTACCACGGAAGGCCATTTTCTATGTTCCCTATGCAGAACAAGAAGTAAATATTAATTTTACTAGAGCATTTGATGGTTTTGTCTGGCTGGCTGTTTATGTCACACAGAGAAAGAGAGAGAGTTAATGCCCACACAGTGGCTCCCTCGCAGCTCAGAATACCTTTCTGTGCATTTCCACTGGAATCGGAAGCCAAAGGAACTGACAGGTTTTCTGCAGCTCCCGAGCCAAGAGACGGTTCGGATTAAAGAGGTGGAACGGCGGCTCAGCCGTGGAACAAACAGCCTTGGAAAGCAGAAGGATCTCCCCTGTTTTAAGAGGAGGTTGGGTGCCCCTTGGTCGAGGGTGGACTAGATGACCTTTGGGAGACCCTTTTGACTCTGTAATTCCATACTTGTAGCTGTCCAGATGTTGGTGCAATGTTGTGCAATGGGAGTTGTGGTTCAGCAATGTTTGGAGGGCCATCAGTGGCTTGCTGGGCTATCTCATGTGCTCCCTTCTGGGCAAAAACTGGCGTGGGGAGGGGACACCATTCCATCTTTCCATCTCTGTGGACCATCAGGTGTAGGAAATCTTCTCCTCTGCATAAGACTCCCCCCCCCGCCCCATTCTGCTTGTAAACCTAATCAGGCCAAAGCAGACCCCTTAAAGATGAGCCAGTTTTATTGGGCATAAATATGGGTGGGTTGATGCCTGCTATTTCAGAAGATGAACTCTACAAAAAAATTAACTAAATGTAATACAGTAGGACTCCCATATCCACGAGGGATTGGTTTCAAACCCTCCCCCCAATAGATAATATCGGGGATAATAGTGAACACTATACAAAAGTATGGTAAAAGATCCAGATTAATTTTTTTTCACACTGTATTACCAAAACAGGCCACTAGAGAGAGCCAGAGACCACGCTATGTGTTTTCCGACAAGGATACATCACATGGTCTCTGGCTCCCTCTTATGGCCAGTGTTTTCCAACAAGACTACATCACATGGTCTCTGGCTCCCTCTCATGGCCAGTTCTGGTAAATACACCATGAAAATACATATTTCTAGGGTTTTTTAAAAAATATTTGTAATATTTTCATACTGTGAATAAATGAAGCAGCAGATACCAATCCTGCAAATACAAGGGTCCTGCCGTGCAGTTAATAGGACACCGGAATCAATGGCAAAGATCCAAGTGAGTTTTTAATGCCAGTGTTAATAGATGTAAGTATTGGTGGCCAGTTGCTATACATTAAGAAGTTGGCTGTATGGTTTCACGGGCCATAGCTCATGCCTTTGCCCAAGATTTATGCCAGTTGTGTTGTCCTGCCATGCACAGCGAACAGGGCTTTTCCCCTTTGCTGCAACAGAGATAACATGGCTTATCACCACATCCCCCACCCCCCACTTATTCCGGCCACCAAGCTATCGCCTCATATCAGGAAATGAAAACCCAGGCTCTCTTCCTTAGTATGGCTTCTGCGCAATCCAGACCCCTTTCTGCCACTTTTACCAGGAGCAGCTGGTATAGAAAGCTATGGCACACAGGCTGGTGCAGGGCCTTTCTGACATTTTGGCTCGTGCAGTGGTGCAAGGAAAGGGGGTCAGGCCAGCTGTTTTGAGGATCCAGCCCCCCCCCAGTAGCCATCAACTTGTTTTCCCCTCAAAACGTCTCTAATCCCAGCCACGGAATGGGTGGAAAGATGGCAGCCTCGGCAGAGCCCAAGATCCTCACATTTGGGGAAGATTTTGAACATCAATAAATTAACTTAGCACAAGGGTTCCCACAGACCATCCCAAGCCTTCACCTGCCTTGTTTGGTCCGGATCTGGGCCCGTGATGGGGCTTAGATCCCCAGGCCTAGGAACCCCCATGAGCCCAACGGCCACATTCAGCTACAGAGCTATGTTGGGGTCCCGCATTCGTTTCAAGTGGCAGGGGGTGCCACAGGCAAAAGGGGGTAGGACTCAAAACAAACAACATTATTTGGCTTTAAGCCTCTTCCTGCTAGAAAGTATGGGGTTTTTGACCTCCTGGAATGGGAAGAATAATAATCTGTAGACAGGGAGGCCTTGCCCACCAGCCAGCACCTCCTAAAAATATTCCGGCCATCACATCTATAGAGAGAACAGAAGGAACCGTGTGGCATGGATGCTACTCAGAGGATCCTGTTTGTACAGAGAGAAGACCCTAGGAAAGGAGAAGCAGTGACCATCCCAGATAGAGCACCATTTTTTCCAGGTTTTTATTGCTATTTTTTAATAGCTGATACGATAAACATTCTAGTTCAGAAGCAACCTTGACCCCTCCCTGCTCGAGGTGCCAAGGGCAAAGAGGACAAAAATCAAATAGAAAAAAAAAGTCTGAAAGAGCCGAGAGCGAATCACGCTGCCCTAACGAGAAAAGACACGTCAGTCCGTATGGCCGCTGAAGGACGCCCCTCACCTCTACCCAGCCAAATTCTCGTGCCTTCTTCTGCAAAGTCCTGCCTTCTTTCTTTAAAAATGCCTCTGTGCATGTGTGTGTGTGTTAAAATTTTGCAAAATAATAATAATTTTAAAAAATGTACATCTGCAAAGCAGGGTCATCTACTGTTCCTTCTACAAAGATTTTATCAAGAGAGCGGGGCCGGACGATTTTAAGGATCTAGTTTACGCATTTAAGCGGCCTTTGCTGATCCGGTGCCTAAGATCTGAGACATTAAAAGCCTTGGGACGCTCGAGCTACGACTACTAAAGGGTTGGAGCTGGTAGGAAACGGATGATTCTGGATCAAGAAGGTGCAGAGACAGCTGAGAAGACGTGGGGGTTTTCTGTGGAGGGAGAGAGGGCACGGCTGATGAAACCAAGAGTTTCCGTGGATTTCCGTGGGTTTTGGACCAAACAAAAACTGAACCTTTGCAAAAAAAACACACCTTTTCCTTGCTCCTGAAGTTAGCCCAGAGGCAGGTGTCACGTTGCACTTCCTCCTAAAGGCTCCCAGGGAAAAGGTAGAAATGTTGCACCCCACTTCAGTAGCAAGGAAAGCAGGATTCCTTGGCTTCTAGGCTTCGTGCAAACAGAAGGGAGTTGTGGGGGGTCTCTCGTTCTGCAAAAGAAAAAAAATATCGTTCTGCAAGAATTATACGTCTTCTTTTGCTCTGCAAGGAACAGCGAGAGGGCCAGGAACCAGATGCAGTGCTGATCCTCCACACTTCTTTTAAGCAGACCGTCTGCAGAACACTCCATGCAAATCTTCATAGTCACAAGGAATGGATGCTTGATTTTTTTTTTAAATAGTGGTGATTCTCCAAAGGCTGAACCCTAATCCTCTGCTTCTGTGGAAGAAGTCCAGTTCTACTTAAGTTCTGGGAAACAGGCAAGCTGCACAAGCAGCAAAGGTCAAAGGGGGACACATTGTTCTGGACACGGCATGGTCGATAACCATACCAATGAGGGAACTGCTAGTTGCTAAGGTTGCCAAGTAGCTTTCTCTTTCAGCTCAGCCTCTCCGGGGAAGACCGGCTGACTCATCCTAGCAGAAGTCAACCTTCTTTGTCACAACTTGGTCGAACACTTTCATATAATGCGGACACCGTCTTCCATTAAGACACCCACCTCCCTTCTTGCCCCAATACTCTAAAGAAGGTCACACATGTGCCTTGAACCTCAGCTGGAAAACACACAAACATCTGCACGACGATATTGAGGATTGGTGATGTCCCGAGTACTAGCCAGTCAGTGCCTACCAAAACCTGTAACTGAGCAGAATTAACATTAGGATCTCCTTTTTGTTTTCAGGGACTGCTCTAGAAGAAGAAGAAGACATTGCCTGTTCTTGGGTTTTTGTCTGTTTGGTCTGCGAAGGTGTTTCCAAACCACATCCGCCTCACCTGATGTGTTACATTGGTCTTCACCTCTAGCGAGCGGAACCTGGTCACGGGGAGGATGAATAGGAAAATAAGCACAGAAGGGGGTGAGGAAAGGGGTGTGTGGTTTTGCTGGAAGAGGAGCCAAGCCCAGACACCAGAAGCAGCCCACCGCCTCTCGACAGGTGGTGGGGTCTAAAGGAAGGATGTTTTTCAAAGCACAGCTGAGTCGAGCCAGCCGGGGCCATCTGGGTTCTAGTGCTTGGCGATGTCTCCTTTCTTGAGGATGATCTGCCTTTGCCAGGGCGCCAGCTTAGTCTCATCGTAACCAAGAGTCCTTAGCTTTTCCGACTGCTCTTTCTCTTTCTCCTCCTCTTCCCGCCTCAGTTTCTCCTGCTCTTTTCTGCCCAATAAAAAACAAAAACCCAAGAAGCAGCATTGGTTACCACCATTTAGAGAATAAGAACGGTAGCATAAGACAGGAGACACACAGCCTGTGCAACTGTTTCCAAATACCTACCTGTGTTAGCCCATCCATTTTCCATCCTCCTCACCCCCAAACCCTTCAATCTCTCAACAAGCTGTTAAACGTTCAGGAAACATTCACCGGACCAGCCACTGTGAAGGTACCAGTGGTGACAATCAGCTGTAAATACAACCCATTGCCATCTTAAGGGGTGCCAGACTTTCAGGGGGCAGAAGAAGCAAAACTGGAGATAGTTGGGGTGGTCGTGGAATATACTGCCTAATTCTAAATTCTAATTACTGGGAGAGAGGATTTTATAAAATAATACTCTTTGCTGTTTCTACCATTTTTTTAAAAAAAACATAACTTTGTCTCTTTGGCTTTAACTAGTACTGCTCCAAGAAATTTGTTGGGATTTCATGCCACCAAGTCACCTTCGATGGATGGTGACCCCATGAATCAGAGATCTCCAGAATGTCCTCAACAACTCTGCTCAGCTCTTGTAGACTCAAGCCTGTGGCTTTCTTTAGGGACTTAGCCCATCTCCCATTGGTTCTTCCTCTTTTCCTGCTACTTTCAACTTTTCCCAGCATGATTGTCTTTTTTTTAGAGAATCCTGCCTTTTCATGATGTGCCCAAAGTAGGACAACGAGAAAAACAACTAATGGCTCCCACTAGACCCACTGCGATGGCTGTCAACCGGTCTGCAGGGAGGCCTGGAAATGCCGTTTGCTCGGACTTACTGTTGTAGACCCACAGCAACCGCACTCCTCAGGGCTAGCAGCTCATAGCCACACCTAATAATAAAGCTAGGCTAATGAGCTTTAATTCTTTAAACCCTTGTAGGGAAAATGCTTTCACAAAGGACAGAAGGAGCAACCTTCTGACTTAGCCTCACACGTTCCTTGAGAAGTCCTGGAATAGCTGCCGTAGCATCCCTCATGTTTCTGACGGAGTCGGTTGTCAGACCTGCCTTGCCCATCATTGGGCCCTCCCGGAGCCCTCGACTACCGGTTCCACCATCCCCATCAAGCAAGGCTGTGTCAGAAGGCCACGGAAGTCAAGACTCACCGTTTTTGCTCTCTGTGGAAGAGAAGAAAGGGGTGGGAGGGGCGATCAATCAGTCAAGAGACGACATTTTCAAGCTGATTCATGCTTCCAAAAATAATTATAATAATAATCTATGCTACATAATTTATAGTGAATCTAATCAAAACTAAATACATACTTCAAACACTCAAGATGGAAAATGCCCCTGCTGGGCCAGTCCAGCAAACTCCCTTAAAGGAAAGGCATAGCATGGTGCCCTCAAGGGACTAGACTGTGACAAGGTGAGTCCCCCTAGCTTGGAGGGTCCCAGTTATCTTCTATATTTCCAGGGAGGGTGGGAGAGAGGGAGGAGCTCATGATGGATAGAAGGAACGAAGGAAGGAAGGAAGGAAGGAAGGAGTTCGTGAAGGATAGAAGGAAGGACGGACAGACAGAAGGAAGGAAGGAGCTCATGATGGATAGAAGGAAGGACGGACAGACGGAAGGAAGGAAGGAGCTCATGATGCATGCATGGATGGATGGATGGATGGATGGATGGATGGATGGATGGATGGATGGATGGATGGATGGATGGATGGATGGATGGATGGATGGATGGATGGAAGGAGCTCATAATGGATAGGAGGAAGGAAGGAGCTCATGATGGATAGCATAACGGATAGGAGAAAGGAAGGAAGGAGCTCATGATGGATAAAAGGAAGGAAGGAAGGACGGATGGACAGACGGAAGGAAGGAAGGAAGGAAAGAAGGAAGGAAGGAGCTCATGATGGATAGAAGGAAGGAAGGACAGATGGACGGACGGACAGAAGGAAGAAAGGAGCTCATGATGGATGGATGGATGGATGGAAGGAAGGAAGGAGCTCATGATGGATAGAAGGAAGGAAGGACAGATGGACGGACGGACCGAAGGAAGAAGGGAGCCCATGATGGATGGATGGAAGGAAGGAATGAATGAAGGAAGGATGGATGGATGGAAGGACAGACAGAAGGAAAGAAGGAAGGAAGGAAGGATGGATGGAAGGACAGACAGAAGGAAGGAAGGAAAGAAGGAAGGAAGGAAGGAGCTCATGATGGATAGGAGAAAGGAAGGATCTCTTCCCCTTCAAAGCGGGCTCACCTTTCCTCTTCCATCTTCTTGCGAAGGATGTCTCTCCGCCAGGCGGGCATGGTAGCCAGGCGAGCCTCTTCTTCTCGTTCCTGCAACACAAGACACACAACAGCGCTCAGGGCTCCCTTCCCACGTCAGCCAGAACGACAGCCCGGAGCGGGAATCGGAGGGTGAAGCAAGGGCCCGGACAGGGCCAGCTATCCGCCGGTTTCCAGTCTAATGGAGAAAGAGGGAAGGAGAAGAAGAGGTGGAAGGAGGGGAGGCAGGATCATGTCCAGATGATCTGAAGGGTAGGAGGCCCCAGGCAGCAAATAGACCCATGCAGAGATCTTGAAATGGGTGGCAGAGCACCTCCCGAGATTAATCCTCATGGATTCTAACTTCTCTCTTGAGTAGGGCACAGCGGAGTTTCTCTAAAGAAACCCTTTTCTTCCACTTTCCCCCCCTATGCCTTGAAGAGCTCAGGACTTCTGTCTTTATCAGCACACCCATGAAGCTCTTCTTTCTCCAGGGATACGGCTAAATCCCACGTCCGTGCGGTGACGGATTTGAGGGTGTGGCTGCCCGGACACTCGTCTCGCCGAGAGAAAAGGTGCCTGTTCTGCTGGAAGTCCAAAAAGGCAGAGCCAAGCCACCAGCCTCTGCCTTCCTACCTTGACTTTGCCTCTTGGCCCTGTCCTAGCCCATCAGCTGCTTTAGACATCCCAGAGGTTGGTCCCTTTGGAAGTGTAGAGGGTGGCCGTGGGCATTTGGGGGCAGGGAGAAGTCCCAAAATGAGCCAAGGGCTGGAAGGAAACAGAAAAAGCCACTGCCAACCAGCGAGGAGGCAAAACGGGATGTGCCCATCCAACCCCTTTCTCGTTTAGAGGGAAAGGAGATGGACACGAACCCTTGGCGCCAAGGGTTCAAGAGGATCCCCGAACATCTTCAAAGCGGCTTACGAGGCACACAAAATCCCCATGAAAAAGGTAAAGGAGATCCACAGCTAGGAGAAGAGGACCCTACAGGAATTTGACAATGGGGGTGTGAGAGCGTGAACTTACATATGGGACGATCGTGACGGCGAATATCAGGGAAAACTTCCTAACTGTTAGAGCAGTACAACAACGGGGCCCCATGACCTCAGGAAGTGGTGGAGCGCTCCAACGCTGGAGGCCTTCGAGAGAAAACTGGACCATCCTCGGCCAGTTCTGGTTTTACTGGGATTCCTGGGTGGAGAAAAGGGTTGGACCCGATGATCTTGGAGGCCCCTCCCAACTCCATGACGCCATGACGGTGGTACCCACAGGGGTTAAAGTTGGCAGAGGTGCAAAGAAACGGAGCTTTGCCCTGGAAACATGATGGTTTACTGTGTTTGGAGATTGTGGGAAAATAAAAGACGGGAGACCCTGGCCCGAAGGAGGTGACGGTATATATTTTAAGACTGGAAGGCAGCAACGGGAAAAGGAGTGTTCTGGAAAAGTCAAAAAGAGAGAGATGGGATCAACAATGCAGCATGTCTTTGCAACCCTGTTTAGACTTTTTGAAGTGAGGTTTAAGCCAGCGTCTTGACAGAGAGGGTGGGTGTCAAGAAGGTGTTCGAAGACAGAAATGGCTATATCCATTAGATGTTCCTAAAGGGAGTTTTAGGCATAAGGAAAGGTAGCAGCACCATTAGGGAAAGATCTCGGTGATTCACGGCAGTAGAATAGAAGGGATAAAAAAGGGAATGAGGGCAACCCCAGAGATTACGGGTCACGCATCCTTAGAAATAAAAGCATGTTAGTGGCGGAGAGACGGGACTCCGGTGGAGAGCTGCATTTGCAAAACGTGATTTCAAAGGCGTCTTACGCTTAAGTCCTAAGGGCACATCCCCAAGAAAACAAGGGTTAGGGTCCAGGGTTAGAGTTTCTGTGACACTCACACACCAACAGCGCTGAAGGTCTTTCTGTGTTCTAAGGACGGGTTGTCTATAACTTTCATTTCGGCCTTGAAAAACGAGACGTTGAAGGGAGTACCATTTTAGGGGTGGAATTTTGGAAAGCCGGCAGGAAGCTGAGCTGGGCTACAAAGGCGCGAGAGAGATGCTATGCCCCCCTCTCCTTGGGCATGGTGGCATCATTACGCAGGGAAGGGCTGCCTGACGTGATCCCTCGGGCTCAGCGAACGACACAACGCGGCCGCCTGAGAAAAATGAGACGTTGAAGGGAGTACCATTTTAGGGGTGGAATTTTGGAAAATGGGTGGCATCAGCCAGAAGGCTACAAAGGCGCGAGAGAGATGCTATGCCCCCCTCTCCTTGGGCATGGCAAAATGATTACGCAGGGAAGGGCTGCCTGACGTGATCCCTCGGGCTCAGCGAACGACACAACGCGGCCGCCTGACCACCGGGCCCGGTGGCGTCCTCAGATGACCACCTCCTTCTTGCCGAAGGCGTCCGGGCTGGCTCCGTGCCCAGAAAAACCAACCAGGGCAAGAAGCTTAGGTGGGAGAGTCCTCGAAGCACGCGGGGGGCTTAGCGCTCAGCTTCCCCCAGGGAACTTGGGCCTTGAATTCCCGAGAGGTTTAGCCTTGAGAGGATCAAGGGGGAGAAGGAGCTAAGGTCAAAGGAGGCCACAGGGCGGGTTTCCTGATGCCAAGGAACGGAGTGGGGCTGTGAGCGCTGCAGGAGCCAGTGGGGCCGGCATGGGCCCATGGGGGGCAGACACCGAGTCCCATCAACCATCTTCCCCAAGATGTTCAATATTCCAGGTGTCAACAATCCTGGCCTTCAGGAGCCAAGGAGTTGATTTGGCTTCTACGACAAATGTTCCTTGCTGCAGTCTGAATCCGTCCCAGCAGGACTGGAGCCTCTCCTTTTAGCTTTCGGGGAAGGGAAATCAACCCAGCGGAAGAGGAGCTGGTTTGCGGGCAGCGATGCTTGTCTGCCCGTGTGGAGCTGGGAGAGAGAACTACGCCTGGAGAGGGACCACCATTGCCTGTCGGGGGTGACAAAACCAAGCAAGAGGTACCGGGGTACAAGGCCGTGCGGTTTGAGAAAGAAGAGTCGTGTTTGAATCCTGATTCAGCCACAAAGATTACCGGGAGACCCTGATCCCCCCCTCCTCTCGTTCTCCCTGTGCTCCAAACCTATTTCGGAGAGCTAGTAAGAGACTCTAGGTTGGCATCAATTGCGCCAGCTTTGCACAGAAAAGGCTCTGCGTCTAGTTTCCCCCAGTTGGCACAATCTCAGGCTGCAGCTGGGCTTCGAAATGAAAGGCTTTGGACTACATCTGCCAGCATTCCCACTGTCCGGGGATTCTAGGAACGGCGATCCAAAAGGGGGTCATTTTTCCTAAGCCTGATGGGGAAAAGCTCCAAGGAAAACAGCTACCTGTTCAGCAGTCAAAAAGAGGGATTTTACAAGAGAATTACAGACCCCAGACTCCTCCTCCATCCACCCGCTCTGCTGGCTGGGGGATTATGGGAGTTGTTGTCCAAAATAATAATTTCCCCCAGCCTCTGGGCTATAGAGGCATGTGCCTGACCTGCAGAAGCCATCGTGCTGAATCTGTGGAACTGGACATCAAAATAAACCATACAAGCTTCGAGGGGCCCAGGGCTTAGGACTGGGGAACCATTTAAGGTGGGGTGGAGTGACAGGGTTTGGGTAGAAGGAGGAGACTGGGGATACACGACGCATCATCCCTTCCAGGGCCTCCTTCACCCCCTTCACTCCTTCCAAATGCTTCCATTCCAACCGGCCATATAATTCTGCAGATCGGAACCCAGATCATGGAGTTGTTTTTCCTCTTCCCTCCTCATCCTTCTTCTTTTGCTGTTACGTCTCTTCAGGCAGCAGGCCTGCTGGCGGGAACAGCCTGGCGTTACTGATTGTATCTAATCCGCTTCGGAAACCCTTGTAGATGACTAGAAGGGGGTAAAATGCTTTATATAAATAATCCCTTCGATTTCCACCACCCCCTCCCCACCGGATATATCCAAAGAAGGCATTCATTTACTCCTTCCCCCAGGTTCATTTTTCCCCCCGTGTGCGCAAGATTGTTCTTCTCGTTTTTAATCGCTTTGCTGCGGATTCGAGGGGAGCCAACGCGAAGAAATTAAGATTGAACATAAAGTCCCATGCCTTCAAAAAGAATAACTGGGACAACTGTCTTGGAACTTTTATAACTCCCCAGCGATTGGAGACATTCCTGTTCTGGATCACGGGTCCATCCCACGGACACCTGATGCCAAAAGCAACACGGGAATCTTCCAGATCTCACAGGTCTCTTTGGGCCTTTTCTTGCAAAGGGCCACTGGCTAACATGATGTTATCACTGGATAGCTCTGTGGTTGCGGTCTCTGGCTGTGGAGCCAGAGGTTGGGAGTTCAATTCCCCCTCTGGGCCCTCCTTGACAGGGGCTAGACTGGATGACCCCATAGGGTCCCTTTCCAGCTCTGCCGTTCTCTCCCATCTGAGCTGCCTGGGAACGATAAGACCCCTCAAGCTGGATCCATCCTGGTGGAGAACCAGAACTGTGCCCTTCTCCCTGACTTCTCTTACGTATAGCTTCAAAACGGGCTCTGGGAATTGGTCTCGCCCCCTGTCAAAGGACATATTTTTAAATCTATTTTATAGTCTGCGTTTTTAAGAAGCCTAGGTGGGTGGTCAAATGGCAAGCCGTTGTGATAAATAAATATTACTTAAATGGCAGCAGAACTCGGCAAGGCAAGGATCAGTGTGTAGGCCAATAAGCCCACATCTGGCGGGGGGGGAAGTAGCCAAAGTGTATTAGCCCAGCTGTTTTTCCAGGATGCAGCTGTGGGCAAAGAGAGGATGCTTTTGAAGCTGTCTTTTCTTGTCACCTGGAGGCAACCTGAGCAAAATGATACTCCGTCGTATCATTTTTGTGCCATTTCGCCATGTCTCTTCCCCCCCCCCCCCCCCCCCCGGACACTGTTCCCTGACATTCTCTTTAACAACAGCATGGAAAGTTCTTTTTTAAACAAAAATCAAAAAATTCCCATGACTCATTTCAATGTTCATAAAGCAACCCACTGCCACCCCACCCTCTGATTCACTTTCTTTTTCTGGACAAAATGACATTTACTAGGGAGAGACCCAATA